GCGGCGCTGCGAGGATTCGTAGGACTCGTCCTAGACATCGGATCAGTCGAACGAGCTACGCACTCGGCCAGCGGCTCACTGGAGCTGATCGAAGAGGCGGAGCTCGCGGGCGCCAATCTCGCACTGTGACGTACAATTCTTTAAACAAACCATCGTGCAATTCGTGGTTTTGGCTTCTCAGGGCCCTCCCATGAAGCCTTTTGGAGGCCTCCTGGAGCGTCTTGGAAGCCTCTTGGGCCGTCTGGGGCCCACCTTGAACGACCTGGAGCGATCGTTCGGCGTCTCAGGAGCCCACGAAAGTGCCGACCGACAGATGCGCAGTTGGCAGCTCCCCCCGCAGGGAGCCGCGAGGTCCTGGCGCGATCCGCGTCGCCCCCGCCCCGCTGGGCCTCCCAGGAGGCCACGGCAGTGCCGAGAGTTGCGCAAGCGGCAGCTCCCCCCGCAGGGAGCCGCGAGGTTCCGACGCGATCCGCGCGTCACCCCCGCTCCCTGGGCCTCCCAGGAGCCCACGAAAGTGCCGACAATTGCCCCGCAGGAGGCCGCGAGGCCTCGGCGCGATCCGCGTGTCACCCCCGCTCTGCTGGGCCTCCCAGGAGCCCACAGTGGACAGTTGCGCAGTTGGCAGCCCCCCCCCGCAAGGAGCCGCGAGGTCTCGGCGCGATCCGCGTGTCACCCCCGCTCCGCTGGGCTCCCAGGAGCCCACGAAAATGCCGACAGTTGCGCATTGGCAGCACCCCCCGCAGGGAGCCGCGAGGTCTCGGCGCGATCCGAGTGTCACCCCCACTCCGCTGGGCCTCCCAGGAGCTCACGAAAAAGCCGACAATAACGCAGTTGGCAGCCCACCCCGAAGGGAGCCGCGAGGTCCCGACGCGATCCGCGTGTCACACCCGCCCAGCTGGGCTTTTGAGGAGCCCACGAACGTGCCGACAGTTGCGCAGTTGGCAGCTCCCCCCGCAGGGAGCCGCGAGGTCTCGGCACGATCCGCGTGTCACCCCCGCTCCCGCTGGGCCTCCCAGGAGCCCACGAAAGTGCGGACATTTGCGCAGTTGGCAGCTCCCCCCGCAGGGAGCAGCGAGGTCTCGGCGCGATCCGCGTGTCACCCCCGCTCCGCTGGGCCTTCCAGGGGCCCACGAACGTGCAGACAGTTGCGCAGTTGGCAACTCCCCCCGCAGGGAGCCGCGAAGTCCCGACGCGATCCGCGTGTCACTCCCGCTCCGCTGGGCCTTCCAGGAGCCCACGAAAGTGCCGACAGTTGCGCAGTTGGCAGCTCCCCCCGCAGGGAGCCGCGAGGTCTCGGCGCGATCCGCGTGTCACCCCCGCTCCGCTGGGCCTCCCAGGAGCCCACGAAAGTGCCGACAGTTGCGCAGTTGGCAGCCCCCCCCGCAAGGAGCCGCGAGGTCTCGGCGCGATCCGCGTGTCACCCCCGCTCCGCTGGGCCTCCCAGGAGCCCACGAAAGTGCCGACAGTTGCGCAGTTGGCAGCTCCCCCCGCAGGGAGCCGCGAGGTCCTCGGCGCGATCCGCGTGGTGTCACCCCCGCTCCGCTGGGCCTCCCAGGAGCCCACGAAAGTGCCGACAATTGCGCAGTTGGCAGCCCCCCCCGCAGGGAGCCGCGAGGTCTCGGCGCGATCCGCGTGTCACCCCCACTCCGCTGGGCCTCCCAGGAGCCCACGAAAGTGCCGACAATTGCGCAATTGGCAGCTCCCCCCGCAGGGAGCCGCGAGGTCTCGGCGCGATCCGCGTGTCACCCCCGCTCCGCTGGGCCTCCCAGGAGCCCACGAAAGTGCCGACAGTTGCGCAGTTGGCAGCTCCCCCCGCAGGGAGCCGCGAGGTCTCGGCGCGATCCGCGTGTCACCCCCACTCCGCTGGGCCTCCCAGGAGCCCACGAAAGTGCCGACAGTTGCGCAGTTGGCAGCTCCCCCCGCAGGGCGCGATCCGCGTGTCACCCCCACTCCGCTGGGCCTCCCAGGAGCCCACGAAAGTGCCGACAATTGCGCAGTTGGCAGCTCCCCCCGCAGGGAACCGCGAGGTCTTGGCGCGATCCGCGTGTCACCCCCACTCCGCTGGGCCTCCCAGGAGCCCACGAAAGTGCCGACAGTTGCGCAAGATCGCAGGAGGCGACAGACGCGCATATCGCAGCCCCCCAGAGGGCGCCGCGAGGAGGAGGTAGGAGGCAGGAGGGAAGTGGGCGGGAGGACGGGGCGACCAGAGTGCTCTATTCAAGACGAGTACCCAACCAAGGGAGGGTTGGGAAACAGTTGTTGAAAGAATGTGGCATGTGTTTCTTCTCGGCATTCCAACGGCTTAAGACGGCCCAAGAGCCTCCCAAGATTGCCCCAAGATCGCCCACGATGCCTCCCCATGACGGCCCAAGAGGCCCCCAAGAGGGCCCCAAGACGGGCCAAGAGGCCTCCAAGACGCCCAAGATGGCCTCCAAGACGGCCCCGAAGCGCCGCAAGAGGACCCCACACCGGTTCAGAGAGGCCTGCAAGACGGCTCCCGACGGCGTCAGACGGGCCAGGAACGCCCCAAGACCGCCAAAGAGGCCCCCGAGAAGTCCCCAAAAGGCCCCCAAAGGCCCTCACGAGGCTCCAAGAGAGCCCAAGATAGCACCAACATGACCTCCAAGACGGTCCCAAGATGGCCCAATCGAGCCCGAGAGTGCCTCAAGAGGCTCTGAAGAGGCATCCTCCCCCTTCTTCTTTTGCCTCCTTCTCCTCCTTTTCCTCTTCCTCCCCCACGTGTTCCCCGAAGGCTTTCCAAACCGACTCGGGGAACAAATGGTCCGATAGCTTCGCCCCCCCCCTAGATGCCTCCAAGACGGCCCAAGATGCCTCCAAGACGGCCTAACATGGCGTCAATATTGCCCAAGACGGCCCAAGAAGCCCCCAAGAGGCCTACAAGACGGCCGAAGAGGCCTCCAAGAGATCTTTCGGGAGGGCCCGAAGAGGTCAAAATCATGAATTGTCCCTAAGTGTTTCAAGGATTTTGGCATTTGTTTCTTCTCGCCTTTCCGACGGCTCAAAACGGCCCAAGAGGCGTCTCCTCTTCCTCTTCATGTTCATTCTCCCCCACGTGTTCCCCGAAAGCTTTCCAAACCGATTCGGGGAACACATGGTCCGATAGCTTGGCAGGCCTCTGGCCACAACGTTCGGTCACATAGGCGCTGCCGAAAGGGCAGGGGGCGGCGGTGATTCGCAGTAGGCGTGTTCGATCCGCCGCCCCCTGTGGTCTTGCCACAGGGGTGCCCGGCGTGCTAGACGCTACCGTTTTTGGTTTTGGTTATTTTTCCCAACTGGAGCTCCCGCCAGTCCCACCGGCCACCCGGAAGAGCGCACAATCTGGCGCAAACGATCACAACGTCTGCAACAAGCTCTCCAAGACGGCTCAAGATAGCCTCCAAGACGGCCAAGATGGCCTCCATGTTCGCCCAAGATGGTCCAACATGGCCTCCAAGACGGCCCAAGAGGGTGCAGGATACTTCCAAGTCCGCCCAAGAAACCTCCAAGACGGCCCAAGACTGCCCAAGAGGTGCCTAGCCTCCAAGACTGCCCAAGATGCCTCTGAGAGGTCCTCCACGAGGGCCCGAAGAGGCCGAAATCATTAATTTTCCTTATGTTTTTGACGGATTGTCGTATTTGCTCCTTTTCGGCCCAAGACGGCCCAAGAGGCCCCCAAGAGCGCCCCAAGATCGCCCAAGAGGCTTGCAAGATGGCCTCAGGACTGCCCAAGAGTCCCGTAAGACGCCCAAGAAAGCCTCCAAGACGGTCCTTGAGCACCCCAAGAGGGCCCAAGTCAGTCTAGAGAGGTCCCCAAGACGGCTTCCGACGGCGTCAGACGGACCAGGAGTCCACCAAGACGGTCCGAGAAGGCTCTAAGGTGGCCCAAAACGGTCCAAGAGGCCTCCAAGAGGGCCTCCAGGAAGGCCCGAAGAGGCCCAAATCAGCGATTGTCCTTTAATGTTTGAAAGATTTTGGCATTCGCTTCTTTTCGGCCTGCCGACGGCCCGAGACGGCCCAAGAGGCCCCCAAGATCACCCCAAGATCGCCCAATAGGCTTGCAAGATGGCCTCAGGACTGCCCAAGAGTCCCGTAAGACGCCCAAGAAAGCCTCCAAGACGGTCCTTGAGCACCCCAAGAGGGCCCAAGTCAGTCTAGAGAGGTCCCCAAGACGGCTTCCGACGGCGTCAGACGGACCAGGAGTCCACCAAGACGGTCCGAGAAGGCTCTAAGGTGGCCCAAAACGGTCCAAGAGGCCTCCAAGAGGGCCTCCAGGAAGGCCCGAAGAGGCCCAAATCAGCGATTGTCCTTTAATGTTTGAAAGATTTTGGCATTCGCTTCTTTTCGGCCTGCCGACGGCCCGAGACGGCCCAAGAGGCCCTCAAGATCGCCCAAGAGGGCCTCCAGGATGGCCCCACGACGGCCCAAGGGCCCCCCTAAGACGGCCCCAAGAGGGCCCTAAGAAGGCCCAAGAGGCCCCCAAGACGCCGAAGATGGCCTCCAAGACTGCCCTGGAGCACCCTGAGAGGGCCCCAAGTCGGCCCAGAGAGGCCCCCAAGACGTCTTCCCACGGCGTCAGACGGGCCAGGAGCCCACCAAGACGGCCAAAGAGGCCCCCGAGAAGCCCCTAAAGGACCCCAAGAGGCCCAAGGAGGCCCCCAGGATGCCTCCAAGAGGCTCCCAGAGACTCCCAAGATGCCCCCTCCTCCTCCTTTTCCTCCTCGTCCTCGTCCTCCTCTCCCGCCTCCTCCAAATCTTCCCCCGCCATCCTCCCCCAAGTGTTTCCCGAAGGGTTTCCACAACGGTTGGGGGAACGCATAGTTCGATAGCTTGGCAGAGCTCTTGCCACAACGCTCGGCCACATGTGCGATTCTAGAAGGCAGGGGGCGGCGGTGACTCGGCGTACGCGTCTTCGATCGCATTTCGTAGCCTCAAGCTGGGGACGAGGACGAGGAGGACGAGGAGGACGAGGAGCACGACGGGGACGAGGACGAGGGCGGGAGCCGACCTCGGGCGGACTCTGGCCGGCGGGGCGGCGCGAGCCACGGCGGGCATGGGATCGCTCCCGGCAGAGGCGCAGGCTGTCATTCCGCTGGAGCCCCTTGAAGATGCGCAGTGCCTCGCGGGGGGGCGGGAGGCAACACGAGCAGTCGGCAACTTCTGGAGCCAGCGGCGACCCTGGGGCACGAGGTGGCGAGCAGCAGCAGCAGCAGCAGCAGCAGCAGCAGCAGCAGCAGCAGCAGCAGCAGCAGCAGCAGCAGCAGCAGCTGAGACGCGGCAGCGCGCGTTGCGCACCAGATCGTATGGAGGAGGAGGAGGAGGAGGAGGAGGAGGAGGAGGAGGAGGAGGAGGAGGAGGAGGAGGAGGAGGAGGAGGAGGGGGAGGAGGAGGGGGAGGGGGAGGAGGAGGAGGAGGAGGAGGAGGAGGAGGAGGAGGAGGAGGAGGAGGAGGAGGAGGGTGGCCGCGGAGGAGGGCAGAGGAGGGATCCGCGCTCAGAGCGTGCAGCACGAACCTTTGGCTACACTGCACGCATGGGTGACCTTTGATGCGCGGCCTGCCCATCGTGGCATGCCGAGTGTTGCATGCATCGTTGCCTGCTCTGCTAGATCCCCCTAAAGATGCACACGGGACATGTTTGGCAAGTTCTGGCTTTCGGGACTGGGCCCTGGGTCTGTCAAACCACGAGTCGAGATGAGAGAACCCCTGGAAAGAATCCAGACCTCAGGCGGCCCACGCGACGAGGAAAATGACGAAGTCTGGAAGACAGCATGGCCGACCCCCAAAAAAACCCGAGCCCGACAAGTAGTGATGCCTCACTCTCACCACCGCCGCCTTCCGCCAGCAGGCCCGCCGCCGGGGCTTCGGGGGACTTCCGGAGTCGGCCGTGCCGCGCGCCGGCCTCCTGGCGAGACCGTGCGCGCCCGCGACCGGCAACAGCAGGGCTGCAGGAACAGCGAGGAGGAGGAAGAGGAGGAGGAGGAGGAGGAGGAGGAGGAGGAGGAGGAGGAGGAGGAGGAGGGGGAGGAGGAGGAGGAGGAGGAGGAGGAGGAGGAGGAGGAGGGGAGGAGGAGGAGGAGGGCAACCTTCGGAGCTGCTGCGCCGATCTCTCGTAAGAGTCGGCGTGGGGCCTCCCGGGCGGCGGCGCCTCCCGCGCCGCCCCTGGGCGCGCTCCGCGAGGCAGGGAGGGAGGAGGAGGGGGGGGAGGAGGAGAGGAGGAGGAGGAGGAGGAGGAGGAGGAGGAGAGGAGGAGGAGGAGGAGGAGGAGGAGGAGGAGGAGGAGGAGGAGGAGGAGGAGGAGGGGGAGGAGGAGGAGGAGGAGGAGGAGGGGGAGGAGGAGGAGGGGGGGGGGTGGGCCCAACGCCAGTCCAAGACACCCGCGCGGACGGATCGCGAGTCTGTGCTCCTCCCGCGCTTCTCTCCTTCCATCTGCAGGCCCTGAGATCCGACGCAGCGAAAACATTTGGCGCCCGAACTATCCTGGGTAACTCGGGTCCGGGGTAACTCGGGTTTGGATTCCCGAAAAATGAACCCGAGCTAGCCCTGACCCGAGTTACCCCTGATGATTTGGGGCTCTGGACGCCCGAACTGTCCGGGGCAATTAGCTCGGGCCCAGGGTAACTCGGGCTCGAATGCCCGAAAAACAGCCCCGAGCCAGCCCTGACCCGAGTTACCCCTGATGACTCGGGGCTCTGAAAACCTGCAGCATCGTAAACCACCACGCCCGCAACCCTGGACCCCACCTTTCTGCATCACCTCTCAGGGCGGCTCCATCCGTGAGGGCCTCGGGGCCCGAGCGCAAGCGAGCGCGCCCGGCTCGAGACACTTGAGACGCCAGGACCTCAGTGAAGGGGCCCACAACCACACAAATAAATACACACAAATAAACATATTCCCCATATTTTCCCATATTTTCTGGGCTTCTGTCTTCCCCCCCACTTCCCATATTTTCCCATATTTTCTGGGAGTGGACGATTAATTGTGTCTGTGTATTTTTTCCCCTCCTGACTCAGGGGAGGGCTGGCAGAGCAGGCACCGATGCGTGCCGCGAGCGGCCTGCAGCGCAGAGCACGGGCTCGTGGGGGAAGCCCCCGCGGCAGCGTTTTGGGGGCCCTCCAGGCCTCGCCCGCGCTCGCGGCGAACTCGACCAGCCTGACGCGCTTCCCAAAGGGGGCGCCAGCGACAGGGACTTCTGGGACCACGGCGCTGCCTCCGAGACCTGCGAGAGAAGTGCGAGTGGAGGCGTCGTCGTGTGGCGACCTCGTGGGCGGCGCCGCGCGGACTTGAGAAGTCGGCAGCGCCCGCCTCCAGAGTTCCTTCCCCTGGGGCCCCTTTTGGAATCGCATGGCAGCCCGTCCCAGTCCGCCCGCTCGACGGCGTGCACCGGCTCCGAGATCACGCAGGCGCGGTTGGAGAGCGCCAGCGCGACGCGGAAGGCCTCCATCTGCCCCGCGGACCTCGGCGCCGAAGACGACGAAGACGACGACGCCGACGACGACAACAACGACGACAACGGCGACGACGACGACAGTGACAGCGGCAACGTCGACGACGTCGACATCGTCGTCGTATCGAGTGTGTTCGGGCGATTCCAAAGAGGTTCACTCGCCACAGCTGGGCGCGGATCGAGAAATGGGCCGGGGCGGACCCCCCGGATGGGTCCTAGGACCCAGGACCCATCTGCCCGTCGGACCGAGACTTGTTGTCGTGCGACGTGAAAGCGTGCAAGTTGAGGATGATGGTAGAGAACCAAGAGAATGGCACGAACATAGCTGACCTGAACGTGCCAATGTCCGCACGGGTTTCTTGGGCCAGCGCTGGACCCCTCCTCAGACTACTGGATGCACCTCCAGCGCTGCCACCAGCGCGTCCCGCGCGATTGGGAAGGGTCCTGGGGGGGGGTCCACCGTCGACCCACGAAATCCGCGCGGACGTCCACGAGCTTATGATCGTGCCGTCTTGTCTTGGTCCTTGAGATAGGGCAGTCGCGGAAGTACTTCCGCAGCTCCGCGTCCTCATAAATGCCTTTGAGGGTGCGCAGCTTGTCGCCGAAGACGCCCGTGTACTCGTTGCGCAGTCTCATGCTGCGCGCGTGCCAGTCGCCCAGGAAACAGACGTGTTTACCGTTTGCCGTCGTGCTGTTGACGTCGATCCTGGGGGGCAAGAAACAATACCGATACCGCTGCTCCCAGGGCCTCTCCCGGGGCGCATCCCGACCAACACTCCGAGGAGAATCCGGCCGTGGCGACGAAGGCTCTCCGCAACGAGCAGCGGTGTCGGTCTGCTGCTCCCCGCCCAGGTCTCCCAAAGTCGCGCGACGGCGCGTAGTGCGGCGGGACCCAGCGCGCGAGCGCCGTGGTGCTGTACATGCGCATGTTCCGACGCGAGTAGTCCCAGACCTCGCGCGCGCCCGTGGCCTGCACAAAGGGCTCGACCATGGCGTGGTGCTCGGGGTCGGGCTCGGCCTGGCCAGGGAGCGGCGAGGAAATCCGCACCAGCACACTGCGGGCAGGATTGTATGTCCACATCCAGTGCGTCTTGGACTTTCCTGGGGAGGGGGGCCACAAAGCCGAGGCGCACTGGATATGGACAAACATCGAGCCTGCAGGTAGGGGTATGTTTTCGTCTTGATCAGTATCCAGTGCGCCTGGATTTTCTCGGGAAGGAAGCCCGAAACTCCAAGCTGCAGTGGATGTGGGCAAACATCTTGCCCGACGCACGGTCCGGAACTCTTGCACAGCGTGTCGCGGCAGCGGCCCCGGCGACACGCTGTGCCCTGCAAGCGGATGGCGTGCCGCTCCGCTCCGCGAGGCGGAAGGCTGGGAAAAGCCTGGGGGATTGATGCTTCGGGGCTGGGACGTGGACAGCGCGTCTCGCCGACCCGCGATCCCGTGATGGGCCCGAGCCGGCGGCACGACACGCCGAGCCAGAGTTCCCGACCGTGAGCTTCGGAGGCCGGCGCAGGTCTGCAACAGACTCGCCAGAGGAGAGCACGGACATTCCAGCGGGTGCCCCGCAGGAGCGTCTGGTCCCCCCGAGGCCCCGGGGGCACACAGAAGCCTTGGGGGCCGCAGAGCAGGGGCCGCCCGTCCTGGCATTCCTGCAGACCTGCCACGCAACATTGTCGCAGAGCAGAAGGAGGTTCAGATCACACAACCATAGCATCAGCAGATCGGGCCGTTGCTCTGACACAGCACGGTCTTTTTTTTTCTCGGCGCTATGTTGGAGAAGAGGGGGAAAAAGGCGAAGGGGAGACATCGCACCCGCCTGATCCACGTCTCTTCCCCGTGCTTGGGGAGTTGGCAGGCAGCCCATGCCGCAGAGGACCGTCCTCGCCCTTTCTCCTCCCGAGTGGGACCAGCACGAAGCACGGCCTCCTCCTCCTCCTCCTCCTCCTCCTCCTCCTCCTCCTCCTCCTCCTCCCTCCTCCTCCCTCCTCCTCCTCCTCCTCCTCCTCCTCCTCCTCCTCCTCCTCCTCCTCCTCCCTCCTCCCTCCTCCTCCTCCTCCTCCTCCTCTCAGACCCGTCTCCGGTTGGCCCTGTCGGCAGGCCAGGGCGCCCGCGCCGCTGCTCGACACCGCCAGGGCGGCGAGCGTGCCCACCGCCGGACCCCCCTGTCGTGAATGCCTGCTGCACGGGGTCGGCGTCGGGCCCGCTCCTCGCAGCCGCTTCCCACGACGCGCAGGGGGGCGCCAGGGGCGCCGTCGATCGGCTGTGCGCAAGCCTGGCGGCGCCCACAAGGGGGTGGCGCGAGGGGGGACGGCCCTCGGAACAGGCAGAGCGAGTGCCTGGGAGGCAGGGTGCTCCCCTATAGACGGCCCCAGAGAGCTTCCGAGAGGCTCCTTTGAAGCCCGCCCCCCCTCTCGCCATCGCTCGGACGTCCATTCCCTGTGTCTTTGTTTGGCTTCGTGCGTGGTTTTTTGCCAAATGATCAGGGATGCTCCTCAATTGTCCTCGCCGAAGGAAAAATGCACACGTCCGAGCGATGCCGAGCCCTTGCGCGCACCCCCCCCCTGGAAGCGTGACTCTAGGCAACAGTGGTGGCCAGTGGCGCACGGCTCCGGGAGGCCGTGGCGCGCGGCCAATATCCACGCAGCCCAGGCGCGCCGGCCACTGCTGGC